GCGTGGCCGTGTCCGGCAGCGATCGTCAGTCTTGCTCGGCGTTTAATCGAACACGACCGTGCCGAACCCGAGAGCTCTCTCTCTCTCTCTCTCTCTCTCTCTCTCTCTCTCTCTCTCTCTCTCTCTCTCTCTTTCTCCCCTCACCTCTCTTTCTCTCTCGGGCACTGAGAGCACAGAGCTGTCGTCGTGCTACGATTAAACGACATTACGCTCGAATTCGCAATTCACGATCTTGATTCGCAAAATAGCGGCGCTCGTAACGAAATGAAGAATCTTCGACGTCGATCGACGTCGAGCAGCTGAGGCTGCTCCGACGGAATTCGATTTCGGAGCCATCGCTGAAATTCTCCGCAAAAGCGGCGCGTCGACGACTTCTTCGTCTTTTCGACGAGTTTCGAGTGTGACGTAATCATTGCTTTTGGTCTCGTTGGAATCTCGTTGTGAGTCTCCGACCGTCAATTTGGCGCGAACGCGGCCCAAAAAATCTATCTATCCCAAAAAAGAGAAAGGGAAAAAATGAAGAGATAGGAGACCTGTGTGATATCTCATTCATATAAGCCGATGTTTTAGTTGCGAAACTTTTCTCTCTCTCTCTCTCTCTCTCTCTCTCTCTCTCTCTCTCTCTCTCTCTCTCTCTCTCCCTCCCTCTCCCTCTCTCCTCCCGCCTTCCTCTCTTTGCGACTGGTGGAGAAACAGGGCGGTTATTATTCGTGAATTTTGGCAACTGCACGCGCGAGTTTAACTCTGCCACGGTGAACTCGCGCTCGGATTTACGGTAATTCCAGTTACTCTCTCACTATCGCGAGAGAGCGCGGAATATCGTGATCGTTCGCAAGCGACGAGAGCAATCGCCGCGCGAGGTGACTCGAGAACATGCAGATTGTTTAACCGTTAAATATATCGGACTCGGATATAATTCAAAATCGCCGCAAAACTGATAATTCGTCTCGTTCATGTGCGCCGCGATTCTCTCCCGTATCGCGTTCTCCTCGACACGGCTGGCTCGACGGCGCGGCAAACCAACTGGAATCGCAACTCCGTTCGCGGGCGAAAACACGCGCGGTTGAGCGCGAGGAATCGTTCTCGAGCGAGAGAACGAGAGACAGAGGAAGAGGATGATGAAGAGAAAGGTAGAGAGAACGAACGGGGCGAATGGGAGAGATCCCATTTGACCGGCGTCATTGTCGATGATGAATCGCACGGGATGTGCAAGCGCTACTTTCGCCGCGCGCATTCGTTATGCATACGGTATCGCTCGCGAGCGGCGCCAAGGTGCTTTCGCATTCGGAGTCTCGCGCGGCTGGGCACGAAATCAATTATCATCGTCGTCGTGTACTGTCGCCCGACGACCTTTCCAGATATTTATCTAGCATTAACGCGATCGTCGTTATTCTCACTCGCTCGTTCGTTTGTTCGTTCGTTCGTTCGTTCGTTCGTTCGTTCATTCGTTCATACGCGTTTCATACCGGTGGTCGTAAATCACGAAACGTGGAATCTCTGCTCGCGGTGTCGCCGATGCTAATGAATCGAAGAGACGGCGAAAATGCATTGTAGCTTCGAGTTTCCGCGCATCGTCGATGCGAACGAGAGAAAGGCAGAAAGAGAGAGAGAGAGAGAGCGAGAGAGAGAGAGAGAGAGAGAGAGAGAGAGAGAGAGAGAGACAGCGTACGCGAGTTTCGAGTGAATTAATCTGGGAACAGGCGAGGGGACAACGCGTCAGCCCGGAACTCTTTTTCGACGTCTCGCCCTCGCATTGAAATTCGCGATTCAAGCGATTCTCCGCTTCTCGAACTGACGTTGCACATGTCACGGGAAATTTATCTGAGAATATTTCATGAGATTGTTCGGACGGGAATACGACGGTGCACGTTGTGCGCCAACGCGAGCAGCCGAGTTCCACCTTGAAACGTCAACGCCTGACAATTTGCTCTGAAAGGAGACGTTACGAATAATGGCGATATCTTTCTGGGAAGCGGATCTAAAAAAGGGGACTTTAAACTCCTCCTGAATTTCTTCTATCGAAGATTTTTTGTTCCCCGCTAAATAAATATTTGATGGATAGATGGATAATATATCGTACGTTCCGGCAAAATTTTAGAGCGGAAAAATAACGGATGAGAGACAAAATATAATATATGTAATATTATTATAGACAGAGAGAGAGAGAGAGAGAGAGAGAGAGAGAGAGAGAGAGAGAGAGAGAGAGAGAGAGAGAGAGAAGCGAGTGCTTTAATTACATTTTAACAGTCAGAGGCAGTTTAACCACGACAAAGTGATGACGAAACTTCGAAAACGTCGAAGCGCGGTTTAATCGATAAATATACTCGTAATACTCTTCATAAAATTGCGACTAATACGAGTCCCGCGCGACGGAGATAACGTTTTCACGCCGCGATCGTTTTAGCTCAACCTGCGGAGGTCACGACCGTGCGTCACGCCGGACAAAAAAGGCTCGTTGAGAATTCAAGGAGCGCCTCAGTAGAAATACAAGTCCGTGATCGTTTTCAAAAGACTGGCCGCTCGTTTCGGATGCAGGTCGCGCGGCGGCAAATCGCGCGCATAGAATCGGACCCGAGGCTGATGCGAGAAAGCGCAGTTAATAATCCGTAGGACGGGGGAAAGTTAAGTAGGGTCGTGCGCGGCTATACTCTGACGACGGAGTAATGCGACGAAATGAATAGCGGTTAGAATCGCGAAGCAAACCACGGGGCGAAAGAAAGGATCGTTAAGAGCCTTACGCAAGCTAGGTCCGCTTCAGCTCTGCGCGCGATTCACCAGCGTCTCTCTCTCTCTCTCTCTCTCTCTCTCTCTCTCTCTCTCTCTCTCTCTCTCTCTCTCTCTCTCTCTCTCTCTCTCTCTCTCTCTCTCTCTCTATAGTAATGTCCGCCTCTCTCCCAATTAGATCGCGCGACATCGATTACGTTCGCTAACGAGGGATTAAATTTAAAAGCGCATATATAGCTTTACAGCTTCGGGAGCAACGGGATGATGAAATTACCGTGTCCCCGGAATTAACCCGCTCGAAAATCGTCCGGAATCAAGGGATCTCGTTAATTCGATTGCGCGGTAAATCGTCTCTCGCGCGAGCCATAATCGCCATTTTCGGGATCAGTCCGTACGTGTCCGTGAAAAAGAGAGAGAGAGAGAGAGAGAGAGAGAGAGAGAGAGAGAGAGAGAGAGAGAGGGGGGGAATGATTACATCTTGCCAACTGTAACGTGGGGTCGTTATGTGGGACGAACGACGCGAGAGATGTATCCGAGAACATCTCCCGGGTATATGTATATATATATATATATATATATATATAACGATCTAGCGAAGGTATTACATGGCGCATGTTGTGCGCCAGCGCGAGTACTCGCGTTCCGCCGAGAAACGTCATCGCTTGAAAGATTCGATAACAAATTAACGTGTCCTTTGTCATCGAAACGAACATATAAAACAGCGCGTTCAGCAAAAGTAACAGACACGCGCAGTGTACAAGATTCTCGGTCGCTCAAATGCGCTCATTCATGTTTCCCGACACGCGATCGCCCGAGCGTTGAACGGAAACTCGGTTAATTCAACTGCGATCAATTTTTCCGTGCGACTCGTGTTCCGGGATAAAATTAACCAATTGTCGCGAATTAGCACACATTTTCATCCATATTATTACCGTTATCAACTTTCTTCGTTCTAGTTTAACATTCCAATTACTTTCGTACGTTTTATTACTACTATTTCGATCAAGTACGTCGCCAATCTCGCGCGGATCAAACTTCCAAGTCGGCGGTGAGAGACATCAGAGAATGCCGCGTGCGTGTCCAGCGCCACCCTGCATGCTGTTCAAGTGCGGAGGGTGGAGGGGGGAGGAAGACATTTTTTATTTCGCGAATGAATAACCCTTGTCGTTCATCGCGCGCGCGCGCGCGCGTACCGTTATGAATTACAAGGTGGAGATTCAACTTCGTGGAATTCACTCTGGTCGCCAATGTGGCGAACGTCGTTCCTGGCCATTCATACGTGTCCGGAATCATTGACCGCGCGATCACGCTACGTGACACGGCAACGACGACGACGACGACAACGACGACCGTTCGTTCCTCCTTCTCCTCCTCTTCCTTCTTTTGTTCTTCCCTGCTGTTTGCGGTGTGAAACAGGAGCAGGTACGAGACAGACAGACATGCGGCACGAGGAAGAGGGAGTTTGGTTTTCCTCCAGTGGCGCAGAGTGTTACGGGATTTCGAAGGGACGCGTGCTCGCGCGGGGCCACTTCGGGAACGCGCGACGCGCAATTTCGCATTGTCACGGACGACGGTAACATCCGAAAAAGCACCGACTCCCTCGTTCCTCCTTCCTCGTTCCCTCAATGTCTCTGTAACGGGCTCTCGCTTGCGGTTTCGATACACCGGCTAGCAAACGATCGATATAACGCGACCAGCACGACCAGTCGCTGCTGCCGCGGGACGTATTACATCGTGTTCATGCGGAAAAGACGGGACTGTGATCCTACGAGGACACTCCAATCCCGCTTTTATACGAAACGCTCCTCTTGCGAATCTAGGCGTTTCTTCCATTTTACCGTTCTATTAAGTACGCGTTCGAAGTATCGTTCGAAGTGGATAATCCTGTCTGATGACTTATCACACCGCGACAATTGATCCTGAGAATCCCGAAAAATCGCGTAGGAGGAGACACGTGCTATTTTTCTCGATGTCGAGCAATTGTGAAAATTTGTTTCACATATCTCTCACCCTGATGACAAATTATTGATGATTGATTGGATAAATCTATCTGTTTCAACCAAGTTACAAGTGCATAAAAAAAGAAAAATTGAATACCGCTGTTACGAAAAAGTTGTCCCACGCATAAAGCATCTCATTAGAGCGATGGAAGAGCATTTTGTGTGACGCAATCGACATTCAAGCAAGCTGAGAAGAAAGTTCCATGTGAGATGAGTGAGGAGGATTCGCGCGTCGCGCGTTAAGCGACGTGTTAACCAAGATTCTCTGATACTCACGATGGCCTGTTGATCGACTCCATTCGGAGGTGGCGGCGGACTGAAACTGGCCGCGGTCGGTGCGCCGGAGGCGGAGGGATGCGGTGCACCCGCTGTGGGTGGAACCTGGGGCCCGCTAGGTGGTGGCTGTTGAGGCGCCCCGGCGTTGTCCTCCTTTACCTGCACCGGCGGCGGTGGCTTGACGTCACCGGCCGCTCCTGCCGCCCCCACAACACCCGCGACCCCGTTCACCGGCGGCGGGAAGACACCCCCACCGTAGGGCGCAGCCATCCCCGTCTGCACCATGTGCTGAAACGATACGATATGTTTCCACGTGAGCACTTTGATGTTTCCGGCTTGGATGTTACTTTGTCGTGTGAGCAGAAATCTTGCCGCGAACGAGCGAAGTGTATCCGTCACGCGGGAGCTTCTTGCCTCGTTATCGGCCGCTCGGGAAGATCGCGCAAACGACACGTTAATTGCAGCGAGCCAAGTAATAATTAATTGGCGGGATTCGGACATTTGTTTCCGCTTCGTTGGCCGGAGATGGAATTTTCCAGTGAGGCAGCATAGCATATGTGCTCTCTCTCTCCTTCTCTCCTCCTCTCGGCCTTTTTCTTTTTCTATTGATGGATCTACTAGTCGGAGGATTCAAGTACGAGGAGAGATGAAAAACGGGAAATTAATGTCGTGCGAACTCTATTAACCTTCATCAACATTTGCTCGCTCTTCTTTCCCTCTTTCTTTCTCTCCCTTCTTACTCTCTCTCTCTCTCTCTCTCTCTCTCTCTCTCTCTCTCTCTCTCGCTCGCTCTCGCTCGTCCCTCATCCGCTCACGCGCGAGACGAGAAAGACCAACATTTTTACTACCGCATCAACGTACGCTTCGGTTTTTCCGCTCTCCAAACAGTCTCCGACCCAATCTCTCCGGGTCTCGTTAGAGACGAAGGATAATGGACGCGAAAACGGCGTTGCCAATTTTTCGCGGTAGCGCACAGCATATACCGTGACCGCGGGCAATCGCGCTCAAGACAAGAAAGACTTCTGGCAGTGTTCCATCGAAATTCGTCGTTGGTTGGATAATACCTCAGCGCGATCCTGGAGCGTTACGCGCGGGCTCCACTTAGAGATGAAACTGTTCAGTCGCGGTGGAAACGAACGGGAAACTAAACCTTTTCATCCAAAACAGACGAAAGGGGGCTTTTTGTGAGAAGATTTCGTAGGCATCGTTGCGACGGCGCACGCGGCGCGCCACGCGAGCCCTCGTGCCCTTCCGAGAAACGTCATCGTTCGAGTACTCGCAGTTAAAGTGCGCGTTCAACGCGAACATTTCTCCGGTGGATTCATAAAATAGCAATTTTATCAGAAATCGCAGATATGTGCAAAAGATATCGCGTGTTTTTAAATTTTTAGTCAATCGAAGGCAACGTAAAGTGCCAACGCGAGCGTTCGTGTTCCAGCTCGAGACGTGATCGTTCGAGTATTAATTAGACGTCAGATTTCAACCGACGATGTCGCTGAAATTCGGCATTAATCTGTAATTAGTCGTATGATAATATCGGGAAAATCGGTCCGCGCACAACGTAGAATACTACAGATTAATCGCGATTTGACGACGCTTTCTATCTGCTTTCGCGCCGGCGCGACGTAGAAGTTTAAATGAAGAAGGACAATTTGATGGAACGAGCGAGCGAGCGACGGCGAACGATTTACCATGGACAGCGAAGGGTAACTATAATTTATGGTGCGCCCCCAGGCTGTATGCCATCCACAATCTCGCGCGAGGCAGGTTACAGATGGTTTGTCCAGTTCTCCCTTCTTCCCAGATTATTTCTGGGACGCCCCCTCGACGTGGTTCGCCCCGTAGCCGGGCGGAGCGAGCTCGGCAAGGGCCATTTGTTATTCCTACCTTGAACATTTTTCTGATAACTCGATTTAGACCGGATTTCGCCGATACCGGGGAGGTACCGGGCTAGAGCGGGGAGGGGGGGGGAGGGGGCAGGAGGAGGAAGGGGGCACGAACGAACGGAGATGAAGCCTCTCACGATGCGCGCGCGCGCGGCTCCGTTGCTCTTTGTTAAGTCTGAGAAATGAAGGAGTCTCCTCTCGGTCTCTCAGCAATTACGGAAAATCCGGCGACGGCGACAAAGTACCCGTCGAGGCGCGACTCGCTCGAGACGATTTCTCTGCCTGCCGACCGATTCCAATCGTTCGATTAATTAGAACGTGCGCACGTTCGTGCAACACATCGACTCTGTTGGCGCGACGGCAAAAGTCAGCATTTCCAACTTTATAATGAATTCCTGGTGAATAGATGTGCGTGATAAACGTGCAACTAGGGAAATTAATTAGCGCCTAATTATGAAATAGATTCGAATTCAATTTTAAACGGTAGAAGAGAGAGAGAGAGAGAGAGAGAGAGGGGGGGGAGAGAACTGGGTTTACAAAAGTAATTAATTGACACGTTGACTGCCGTGTCATTAATTTACAAGACGTGGCGAATTGCGTGTAACAAATCACATAAATGATCGGTAGTCGATGAAACTAGCTTACAAATACATGCATTTTACATTTACGAATTGTGTTTGCCTCTCTCTTTTATTTTGGTTGTCTTTTCTGTTCTTTTTTTCTGTTATTCATATTTCAGTTGAGATGAGCTCCAACTGAGTTTTCAAGAATAAATGATGAGAATAAACACGGCATTCAACGTGTTAACAGCCCGAGTTTACAGGAAAATACCGAAAGCACTGACTAAAAATAGAACCGAGGCGCGATTTATCGTTCCGAGACGTCGCAAACTGCGCACGGTTGAGAGAGCGACGGAAAATACTACGCTCTCGCTGCATCGACAATTTGTCTAATCGTCCCGAGTGTCCCCCACCCTCCCTCTCTCTCTCTTACTCGCAAAACCAGTCGGGGAAAAATATTATCGGGAATGCGAAATTCTCCCGTCGTAATTCCACTCGCGGCAGAAATATTCAATCCCGCCGATACACAACGCGAAATCCAATCGTTCCTCCAAATTCCGCAGCACGAAGCCAATTTTTGTCCGCAGCGATTCGATTATACGGGACACACGGGGCGAATAAAATTCTAATAAAACCGCGCGAGGGGTACCGCACCGTGTTACACTGGTCAGTGCGCGCTTGCTTGCTTTCTCTCTCCCCTCCCCTCTCTCTCTCTCTCTCTTTCCCCCTGTCGGAAGTCTGATCACGATCGTCGACTAACAAGGGTGATTCGACGACGTGGCGAGACGCGAACGGAAGGATCCTTTCTGGAAAAAAGAAGAAGCACCGGAAAATAATCCGGAAGGGAGTGAGACAGCGGGGCTTTCTTGCTCGGAGGACGACCCATGAAAGGAGAGCTGGTGAAGAGCACGTGTGTGAGAGAGGACCCTATGCGAGAGCAAGAGCGAGCTCGATGTAACTTCGAACTGGAGAAGAGAGAAAGAGAGAGAAACGCAGGAAAGGGAAAGAAAACGCGAGGGAAAGAGAAGAGCGAGAGATCGAAGTCGCTTCTGGTTCTGCAGAAACAGCAGCAGCAGCAGCAGCAGCAGCAGTGTTTCCTCTTCGACTGCTCGCTATTCCGCGAGCGTGGCTTAATCAACGAAAGGGACAGGGTCGAGAGAAGGCGAGCGTACACAGCGGAGAACGTGAGATCCCGATGCGACCTAATTTTCCCGCGCTGGAAATATATATCTTCGGGTCGACTGGCAGCCGCGCGGCGCTTCGATTGCGAAGATAGAGGATCGTCGGGTCGGATTAAAAACGCGTTAATTTCGCCGGTGAGAAAGAGAGAAAAGAGGCGAAAAGAGATGGAGACGGACCCGTCTTCCGCTCACGTTGCCGTCGTTAATTGATTCTTCTAATTTCTCACGCGGAACGAGCGACGTCGCCGGCGAGATGAGTCCATACTGATTCGTCAGCTGGCACGAATTCCGCGAGCTTTGTTCGTTATAGTCGTTCGTTATGCTTGCTCGTCGCACTTGCTCTTCTTCTTCTTCTTCTTCTTCTTCTTCTTCTTCTTCTTCTTCTTCTTTCCAATGTTCTTTTTCCTCCTCACTCGGTGCAATAGCTCCGCCGCAGAAGTTCGCGGACGTGTGATATGTGAAAATTAAACCCGGAGCCGCGTTCGGTCGAGTCAGCTTGAAGTCATGCGCGAAAGTTTTTCCTTTGCTCAACGGTTCGCAAACATTACATCATTACGTATTTAAATGGTTACAGGGCGATCGAATTGTATTGTCTCCGATATACGAATATCTGAATATCCGTAAAAATCTATAGCTATTACAAGACCTATTACTTTTTGAAGGACAAATTACCGATATTTGAACCTGATATTTTAGTCGCAAGAACCGCATCTGCTTAAACGCATCTCTCGTAAATGCCACCAAAGAATAAAGAAAAAAAAAAAAAAAAAAAAAAAAAAAAAAATACAGTCTATATTTTTCTACGAATACTAGATAGGTCGTCAGTCTTTTTTCCAATTGGAACCTTTCACCGTAATTAAACGAGATCGCGCGTTCTTGTCGACGAGTCATAAATTTCGAACATTAACCTTTCGTCTTCTACTCGTGCTCTTTCTTCTCTTAAGCGACCGAAACGTTTCATGTATTTCAAGAAAGGCGAAGTTATATTTTTTTGACGTTCGTTTTGGCGAAAGAGACCGCCGTTGCTCGTACGTCCCTTTCGAGGTAAAACCCTCAATTCCATTTCAGCGGGTGGCTCGCTCTCTCGCGTCGCTCGGTCAACGACAGTCTAACAGTTCTTTGTCGTCTGCTTTTTCTCTTTCCTTCTCCCCCCCCCCTCTCTCTCTCTTTCGACGAACAGAGAGTGCGGCTTTCCGCGCCCGGCGGTATACAAGGAACCATTCAGAGCATGCTTCCCCTTCGGCGTCAGCGGAGCGTGTCGCCATGGTTAGCTGGGCCTTACGATGATCGCGCGCTCGCGCGTGAGAGAGAAAGAGAGAGCGTGTATAATGGAGAAAAAAAAAAAAGATTTTAATGACGCCACGCTAATTCGATCAGCTCTCTCGGGCGTAGAGAGAGCAAACGATGAAACACGCGCTCTTGTTCATGTTCTCGAGCGATGATAGCTGGCCGGTCAACTTTGGCGCATTGTTCTCCGTCATACTCGTATTGCTTTTAATTAATTGAATTATTCGGTTGCTCGTCGAACGATTGCGCGAGCCGCCAACAATTCTTCATCGAGCTCGTGGCGATTCACATCGGCGATATCACATCGAAAGACACATTGATCATCGCGCGATTCCAGGATGGAGCGCGAGCGCGCGCATGTTTGCTCTCTCTCT